TCATTGTCAGTTTCTCTACTGAATGGTCTGGCACAACGATATATTCCAAGATATTTCTATGATTATTAATAAAAAATGTGAATGACTAGGCAAATACAATATCGAATGTAGTCTAGGGATGAATTTTTATACATAGCATATCATATGGATATCGGACGATGTGTTAAAGAATTCAATCGATCTGTCATATTGTCATGCAAAATAAATTTGCATTGCAGTATAATCTATCCATTGCCGTAGTATCTGGACCATAAAAATAAAAATGCTTTAATAAAGTGTTGAGATTACAATCAATAAATTTTTCATTTCGCAAATGGCACGCACATCTGCGTTTCACTTTCGCCAAATCCCGAAAGTATGTTATTGTTAGAGCCCGATAGCTTTAGTTTATCATCATTTACGGTGGAGACCGCGATTCATTCAAAAGAACGCAATGAAGAGACAGACGAAGAACTATAATCGGCTTTGCCACCTCTGAACTACGACAACTCCTATATGTCACCTGGCCGGAAACAAATGTTAGACGAACGCGATAAAAATTGTGCAAAGTTGAACCGGGGAACTTTTTCAAAGCGCCGTTTGTTTTTGAAACTGTAATTCGAGCACGAGAGACTATATGTAACTTCTCTATAAGAAAATAAAGTGGAGAATTTGTCTTCATGCGTATACTTACGAATATTATATTTTGTAAACGGTGATAAAATATGCATTATGTTGGCTGTACTTTTATTGCAAAGTACAATTGTATATATACGAGTAGGGTAGAGCAGGGCATAAAGGTTCAATTTGACTTTGAGCAATTAAATTGTGAAAACCAAACCAATTATATCACAACAAATAACACATATCAAACGAACAAATATATGTCTATTTTCAGTAAAACTCCTAGCCAATTCATCATTGTAGAAAATTGCTTTTTTTGCTTTTGCAAATTATACCTGGCTTTTTTCACCACAATGGCGGGATAAATTCGGGCAGGCATAGGGCAAATAGATCCAACGTCTTATTTTTAGATGTAAAAGGAGCTTAGTTACATTATGCAATACAAAATATAATTTACCTCTGTACATTTTTACAGAGAAAACACTGCTTATATTCTTGCTCAGGTATTTGGTCAGAAATATTCATCAGCACAGTTGAAATAACACTTTATATAAATAAATTGCCTTTTTTCACTTAGTTTACTTTTTTTATTGAAGTAAAACTTCTTTAAACGCGACTAAGGTGTAAATCCGTACAAATGCAACAGAAGTTCGTTACGCCCGAACTGTTCGTCATTCGCTCTCGATTAGATCTTCTTTATACGGGTCGATTGTGATTACCTGTCGTGTATGTGAATAAATATCTGTCGTTGTATGCGCACCGATATCAACAAGGAAATCGGCATAGGTAAATAAACATTCTAAAGTTACATCGTGGTACAAATCTTGATTTAATGAAAAATGCCTGAATCGGAAGAATATTTTACCCTGTTCCTTGAAAATAATAAAACAAATGAAACATTTGGGTCGTGTACTAAACGTAAGTTTATTGATTAGAAATTATTTCTATATTATTCGTAGTTTCTATAAATCTTAAAGTTATTGAAATGGCAAATATTTTTTAGACAAGACAGATATTACAGCTTTGTCAATTTTTGTTAATGATGAAAAAGGGCTCGCTAGACTTGAATCAGAGGACTCGGGTTCGATTCCACTTCGAATAGCATGTTGTAAAGCAGTGGTGACAACAATTTTTACTTCGAAATATAGATAGCAATATGTTTCTAAGAGAAAATACACCCGGCATTGCTGCACCAATGAAAATAATTGCCCTATTACAGAAATTGTAATAATAATATATCATACAGATGTGAGCATTTTATTTATTTATTTATTTATGTATTTATTTATTTATTTATTCATAAGCAAGCCGTAATCAATAATAATAGATATTATTTCAGGCTCTTGTCAAGCTTATTCATAGTTGATATTAAAAGGATAGTAATTTTATAATAATCATAGTAGCTGCACGAATTTCGCTTCTGAAAAAAAAGAGCTGAAAAAAAGCATTCGAACATTAAATACAATGTTCATCATCAAGTTCATTATATTAAAGTCTATTTGACCACCAGACAAGCTCAAAATTCTTGCACAAGGTTGCAAGTTATACTCATTTAAAATCGTAAAAATTAAAAAAAAAAATAAAATAGCAATAAAAAAAAATTAAAAAAAATATGGTTGTACAGACAATCAAATGGTCAGACTACATAGATAAAGGATAAGGATTATGCAAGAAAATAGTTATTGAAATCAAATTACTAACGTTTAGATGATAAACGTTACGACTAATTAAACTTGTTATGACTAATCTCGACCAGAGCATCCATTAATGAAATTGCTTATGAATAAATAAATAAATTATATCGTATTGCCTGTTCATTCTGAATTGAGTATAGGAATATCGAACTGTGTAATAAACATCCATCAAACTATCCCCCGCCTCCGAGGAGTATTCTATTCGCAGATTTCGTCCATTATAAATTCATAATGCGTCTTTGGGCCGTCGCTAAGGGACTGCGATTCGCGTCCTCCTTAACGGCATCCGGAGTGTATTACTCCCGGAAACAACAAACTTGCTCAAACTTTCTGAAATATGTTTAATATATTATTCACTGAGTGTGGAAAACTTATAAAATTGTATATCTGGGAGATTCCTTATTTTTACGTCTCTCGGAATTCTATTTGTTTCACTTTGATCTACCGAAAAAGAAAGTTTTTCGCGGACATGAGACAAATGCATCGATATTCGAAATTCAAAACTTTGCGATATTTTATCGTTGAAAGTTTAGTTTAGCTATTTAATAATAAACGCATAGTTCGAGTTTGGGAGAAAGCATTTTTCTTGCTAAAAATGAATAGTTAATGAGCGTTCATAGCATAATATGAGAATGAATAAAATGCAATTATATTTTAACAAATAAAAAAAATTATTTCTTATAAATAATAAATTTTCTACTTTTTATAGGAAATAAATTCTTAATTTGTTTGAAGATTTTCATAGTTTAGGCGAACTTGTGGTTTGTTGTAATGGTTTTTTTAAGTAATATATTTTGAGATTCTCTGATTATATTTTTACAAAATAAAAATGAATTGTTGCTAAGCTATTCCTATAGCAAATAAAGTAAAAATAATTTTACAACTGTTGCTCATCATTTTACATATAATTATTTTCTAGAAAAAGTACGGTATGTAATTAACCCCCAATAGAGTAGTTGTCAAGGTGCGTGACGGCCACGCGAAGGCTGCGGATTCAATCTCCGGTATACCCATAAATAGGTAGAGATAATACATTAAGCGTAAGGTAAAAATATAGCGAATAATTAGTAGAAAGTAAGTTTTTTATAATAAGTTTATGAGCAAATAATAATCTAGCAATAATAGATTATTTGTAAGCATAGGAATCGATGATAGATAATAGGTTATTATAATATATTAGGTGTACAACTTTGCTTCCGCCGTTTTTTTTCCAAAATTAAATGCATTATTGCGAAAAAGTGCTTACTGATGTATTATTCAAAGTAATGTCCGTCACTAGCGACAACTTTCTCCCATCTTTCCGGCAATTTTTGGATCCCGGATCGAAAAAAGGAGTCCTCTTTTGACGCTATCCATGAAGCAATTCATTTTTCCAATTTTTCGAAGGATTGAAGATGTTGATCTGCCAGGCCGTGTGCCATCCAACGGAATAGGTGGAAGTCAGAAGAGGCGACATCTGTGGAATACGGCGGGTGGGGCAAGATTTCATTTCAGCGTTTCCAGGTACTTTTTGACCACTTTTGCGACGTGAGGCCGAGCATTGTCGTGTTGGAGGATGACTTTGTCATGTCGCTCTTGATACTGTGGCGGCTTTTCTTTTAGCTCGCGACTAAGGCGCATCAGTTGCGTTCGATAGAGATCTCCTGTGATGGTTTCACCTAGTTTTAAGAGCTAATTGTTCATCTTTGTAGTTTTTTTCTGTTCCACCACCATGTTTGTCTTCAGCATCGAAATCATCATTTTTAAAACGTTGAAACCACTCCCGACACGTTCTTTCACTCAGAGCAGCATCACCGTAAGTTTCTGAGAGCATTCGATGCGCTTCAGCTGCATTTTTTTTTAGAATTGTAACAGAAAAGTGAAACTTCCCACAAATGGCGAGAATTGGGGCAAAAACGGGCATTTTCGAGCGTGAATAATACGAAAACAAGAACAACTGTCACTGAAACGGAGATGACAATTCGTTAAGCATTGTTCACACTCACTTTAAAGGCATTATCATCTATGTATTTCAACCAGCCTCAGCCGGTACAGCCACATATCGGAAACGGCGGAAGCAAAGTTGTACACCTAATATAATAGTATAATATAATATAATAGTATAATAAATAATTATTTTATTCATCATATCATTAGATTAGGTCTTGTAACGTATTGCAATCAAATTACTACTGTACTTATATATTATAATAAAGGTTTTAATAAATGCAAATAATATCAAAATAAATAGAATTAAATGTATATAAATTATGTACTCAATGACTCTTTTATAATTTAATGTAAAGGCTAACTGTGTATAATAGAGTTAATCAATAAGAAATCAATATATTAGTTTACGTTTACTGTGCTGTGCAGTCAGACGATTTTCTCAGGTAGTCAGAAAATATAACCTAGAAACCGCACAAATGTCAAAAAAGCAATGTTGTATAACTGGGTCTTTCTGACTCAGGTTCATAACATACGAGCGACGTTGCAGTTTATGTGTAAAACGCCTAAATGCACAGCAAATAGATAACATTTTGACAGTATTCAGTATGATTCAGTAACATAATTTATGGAAGTTAGAGAGTAACATGGCCTTGCCATAACATTTGTCTGTTATGCGGCAGAATCGATCCCTCAATGTATAATATGTAAATTGATTTCCATCTTCAAATTAACACCTATCGAACATATCGTATTTAAGTATATTTTCCCTTTCAGCTCGGTTATCTGGACGTTGTCGTGCCCCCGGACTTCGTGGCCGAGGACACATCCGGCGATGTTATGGTTCCGGAAGGTGGCGTCGTGAAGCTGACCTGTAGGGCGCGCGGCCAACCTGTTCCTCACGTCCAGTGGCGCCGGGAGGACGGCGGTGACATTGTAATACGCGAACCGAGTGGACAGAAGACCAAAGGTCAGAGATAGATCATTTAATTGAATAGGAAATAGGAATAATTTTACATAATTCTAATAAAATTTATGTAAAATACATGGCTCGTGAATATTGTATATAAAGAAATAAATTAGAACAATATTCATTTGTATCGAATTTGATGCTGAATTTAAATAACCGTATTGCTGTTGTTGAATTTGATGCTGAATTTAAATAACCGTCAACAACTATTTAATTTGTTACTCGAACTTAACCTAATACTAAAAAAGTAAAAAAGAACTATATAAATTTATAAAAACTAAAACAAATCAAATAAGTAAATAATAATAATCAAGTAATTATTTATTTATTTATTTATTTATTATACGCCAATCGGCTATATACAGTTAAATATATAGTAATATAATTATGAAAAAATATTTTATGTTTTCATTGAGTAGTTACACAGGACAGCAAAAAAACATTGTCTAATTGCGTGTGTGACATATGTTTTTCAATGTAGTTTCTACACGAATCTAAAGTCAAAATCTGGAAATTCTCGAAGCTTTGAAAAATGTTCGGTTGTGTCACTTGTTTTTTGATTAGCCATAATCGTTAATTTACCAGTAAACTGAGCAAAAATTAAATTAAATGGTAATTTGAACATTTGTCTACTGAATGTAAACCTATTTCATACAACCCCGTCGTCGGGGGTGTAGACGGTTGTGGCAGGTATAAAAATAGGTTAAGAACAATAGGTATAACCGCCAAAATGGTTTTGTAACGACTTATATTACCCTTAATAGCAATAACACATAACACAACTCAATATAAACATTTGTACACAGCTTATTGATAAAATATAACAATATAAAGCAAAACAATTATTTGAACAAAGTTAACAATAATTCTTTGCAAAATCTTTTTTTATTGAATGTTTTTTTTTCCTTTCTCTTTCATAATTTGTGTGAATTAAGTTAGAAAGAAGTTTTATTTATCTGTTTAATCTTCACCCGAAAAACACAAGAAATACATGTGACAACCATATCTACAAAATTTGTCACAACCGTACCGAACCCACACTTTTAAAAACTAATTATCAATATGACTGAGCTAAATTATCTAAGCAGAACTAATTGCTGGCAAATAATTACCATTGTTAATCTTATAGCAAAGTAACAAACAAAGTGGTCTATAGAATTAAGTTATCATTAAAAGAATTCAAACATGAAAACTTACTTTTGACTTCTTAAAACCAATGCGGTTTACATATACTTGATTGTTTTTGTTCAGTTTCGCTGTTATGAGGACTACTGTCACTACCGTATCTAGACACAACCGTACCCAGTCTTCCCTACTGAAAATATACCAAGGGTTCTGAAATTGACTTGTTCATAACCTTACCTCTGATAAGCTGGACCTGCCTTCTATTAAATAAATAAAACAAACTAGTGGGGTGTATGGCATTTAGCCTTTAGGCAAATTGCTGGAACTTCCCGTACCAAACATTATTAATTTATTTAAAAACGATTAACATTTTTGAAAAAAAAAATACTTCGAAGAAATTAGATTTTTGAGAAACTATAAATTCGACAAAAAATTACTTTGTTTTGAAAAAAAATGTTTTGTTTATTTTGACTTATTTTGGAAATTCTAAACTTTTTAACTTCCCGTAGGGCAAGTTATAGTAATCGCAAAAAAATCGAAAATGAAAATTTTTATATATCTTTACGTTTCAGAGGTTTCTGAACATTTTGGCATACCTTAGAAAAAATGGATGTATGTGTGTGTGTGTGTGTGTGTGTGTGTATGTGTGTGTGTATGTATGTATGTATGTGTGTGTATGTATGTGCGGATACAAATTTTCGTCGACGATTTCGGGAACACGGATCAACCGATTTGAATAATTCAAAAAACATTCGATCCGTATTGATAAGGAGACGTGCTGATTAGTTTTTGGCAAAGGCAGGTCAAGCCGTTCCGAAGATACGGAGCAAAAAGTTGCGAAAACGGTAACTCAGTTTTTAAGAGAACGGAGCGTCCGATTTTAATAATTCAAAAAACATTTTATTTGTATTGACAAGATGAAGAATCGATACAACTTTCATGAAGGTAGGTCCAGCGGTTTCGGAGATATAAAGGAAAAAGTAAAAAAATGAGCCATTTGGCGGTTAAAAATGATCATTAGACATATGCACATCAAATTATCAGGCATTTTATAGAGATTTTAACAATAAGTATACATTTTGTTAACATTCCTATCGGTTCCGTACCAATGCTTATGCGTTAGACAGCGACGCGGCGCTTACGCGCTTTATATTTTGTCCCTATGTAGTTAAAGCAGTACGATTGCTTTGAAAAAAAAGTTCAGATCTTCCACAATATGTCAAAATAAAGAAAAAAAAATTTTTTCAAAAAAAACAAATTTTTTAAAAAAAATTTTTTTTTTTCAAAAAAAACTAATTTTTTGTCCAATTTATAGTTTCTCAAAAATCTTATTTTTTCAAAGTAATTTTTTTCAAAAATGTTAATCGTTTTAAAAAAAATAATAATTTTTGGTACGGGAAGTTCCAGCAATTTGCCTTAAGGCACGATGCCCTAATTGCCTTAAGACAGAATTCCACTTACAGCTAGTTTTCAAAGCAATCGTACTGCTTAACTGCATAGAGACGATATGTCAAAGCGCGTAAGCGCCGCGTCGGCGGCTAATGAATAAACATTCGTACGGAACCCATAGGAATGTAAACAAAATTTACACTTATTGTTAAAATCTCTATAAAATATCTGATAATTTGATGTGCATATGTTTAATGATCATTTTTGACCGCCAAATATCATTTTTTTTAGTTTTTTCGTTAGATCTCCGAAACCGCTAGACCTGTCTTCATGAAAATTTGATCCATTTTTCATCTTGTTAATACGAATAAAATGTTTTTTGATTTATTAAAATCGGACGCTCCGTTCTCTTAAAAACTGAGTTACCGTTTTTGGCACTTTTTGCCACGTATCTTCGGAACGGCTACACCTGCCTCCGTCAAAAACTAATCAGCACGTCTCCTTATCAATACGAATCGAATGTTTTTTAAATTATTCAAATTGCATCATCCGTGTTCCCGAAATCGCCACACACATACACACACACATACATCCATTTTTTTCTAAGGTATGCCAAAATTTTCAGAAGGTTTTGAAACGTAAAGATATAAAAAAAAATTCATTTTTGATTTTTTGCGACTACTATAACTTGCCCTACGGGAAGTTAACTAGTGGGGTGTATGGCATCGTGCCTTAAGGCAAATTGCTGGAACTTCTCGTACCGTAACTAAATGTTTGAGGAATATTAAATGTTTTCAAATAGATTATTATAACTAGCTGTAAGTGGAATTCTGTCTTAAGGCAATTAAAGCATCGTGCCTTACGGCAAATTGCTGGAACTTCCCGTACCAAAAATTTATTAACGATTAACATTTTTACTTCGAAAAAATAAGATTTTTAAGAAACTATAAATTGGACAAAAAATTACTTTTTTTGAAAAAAAAAAAATTTTTTTTTTTTAATTTTTTTTCTTTATTTTGACATATTTTGGAAGATCAAACTTTTTTCAAAGCAATTGTACTGCTTTAACTGCATAGAGACAAAATATAAAGCGCATAAGCGCCACGTCGCTGTCTAACGGATAAACATTGGTACTTAAAATAAAAAACTTAAAATCTGAGGTACCGTTTTTGGCACTTTTTGCCCCATGTCTTCGGAACGGCTAGACTTGCCCCCGCCAAAAACTAATCAGCACGTCTCCTTATCAATACGAATCGAATGTTTTTTGAATTATTCAAATCGCTTCATCCGTGTTCCCGAAATCGTCGACGAAAATTTGTATCCGCACACACATACATACACGCACACACACACACACACATGAATCCATTTTTTCTAAGGTATGCCAAAATATTCAGAAACCTCTGAAACGTAAAGATATATAAAAATTTTCATTTTCGATTTTTTTGCGATTACTATAACTTACCCTACGGGAAGTTAAAAAATACTGTAACATTGTCTAATATTTATAAAAATTATATAAATTGAATTGCAAAGTTGAAATTATTTGTCCAAAGTATATTAGAACTTTAGTCAAATTTAAAAATAAAATCTGAATTATTTTCGATATACAAAAAAAATTGGAAAAAAATAACGAAACAGCTTAGTTCTCTCAAAAACTGCCATTTTATGCATTTTCAACTCTGTATCGTTGAAATAGCTGGGCCTGCCTTTGCCAAAATCTAACAACCACTTCTCCCAATAATTACTAATTGAATGTTTTTTAGATCATTCAAATCGGATGCTGCGTTCTCTCAAAAACTCGATTTTTATTTTCTGCACTCTTTACTCTTTATCTCCGTAAATGCTAGACCTGCCTTCGCCCAAAACTAATCAGCACATCTCCCTATTAATAGGAATCTAATGTTTTTTGAACCATTCAAATCGGTTGATCCGTGCGCCCGAAAACGTGAACGAAAAATTGTATTCATCGAGTTAGTTCCTTGACAGTATGATGAATAAAAAAAATACAAAAAATACCTCAAAATTTTAATTAGTAAATGAACTATTTCTTATTAGTTGCGTAGAATTTCCTACCCGCATGCGGCTCGGTCCCTCATGAGTGACCAAACGCGGGCATATTTCATCTCCTGCGCCTATCCGTCTATGTGACCATACGGCGGCGGCAGCGGTTTGTTGACGGCAAACACTTGGACCAGAAGCGATTACTATCAAGATAGATATTTCACGGCCCCTATTTGCATTCATCTGATATTTGCCCAGTGAGGACTTGGTGTACATAGAAGATCACTTAATAACGAACCATTTTGATGAGGGTATTAGACTCACTTGCTCTATTTCAATCAATTCTGGACATGATTTACTTTCATATCTCAGGGACAAAAAGATGAATGAAAAAATATTTAGAAGAATTTGTTGATTGAATCTGCAGATAGACAAAATCGTATTGTATTTTGAACTCGAAGCTATTATGTAAATAATGAGAA